ATTGGTTTGAAAGAAAGAGATGGCATCCAAACACATTAAAGTGTCTGATAAAATCACTAGGGGTACATTAAGTTTCCCATTGGTTATTCATGTCATATTTAGAAGTAACAGTATATAAGGGAGAGTTTCCAAAAATGGAGAGGTGAGCAGGGACACTGCATTTCATTCAGGACACGAGTTATATCTCAGCGAATAGAAAAGATAGGAGGTTCTTATTTTATATTCTAGCTTGTCAATATTGGTAATTTGAGTTCCTAATTCATACAAAACTATATACTTAGTATTTTGACAAACATCTAATTTGAACCAGTGCTGCATTCAACATACCACGTGACACACAAAAATCAATCTTTACTATTTAATATTTAATAATAAAAAATTGAGTAAGGTATAATACTAAAATTTCATTTATAATCTACAGAAATTCATGAAATAGTACTTAAATAAAATTTTGAATTTGAGTCAACAAAAGAGATGACATGGCCTTTCACCCATGACCCATCTGGAAAGTGTTAACTTTAAATTTATATTAATTAGCATAAAAATAACAATGATACTATTTTTCTGAATCTCATCAGTCCCTTACCACAGAAAAGCTTTTTTCAGGAATTATATATCAGATGAAGGATGCTCTTTTTGTGTAATTTTGCAAATACAAGATATTTTTTTAAACTACCAAGAGCTACTTCATTACAAAGATTATTCTGATATTTTCAAAACTACAAGAATTCTAATAAAAAATATATAATCCAATATTTGTTGAAATATCTGGAGCTTACAATCCATAATGGTTGCTGCTGCTGTGGTTTCTGTAAGTCCATATCCTTGAATTAAATAGACATCTAAACATGTTCTGATAAATTCCTGTGTGCCTGATGAAAGAGGAGCTCCACCTGAAGCAATAGCTCTCAGTCGACCTCCAACCATGTTCTTGATTTTTTTGAATAGAAGCCTTTCATCATAAAAATAATAATCACTTTATTTTAAAATATGCTTCTTTTTTCAAGGTTATATGCTTAGTTTAATCATATGCTTCTCAAAAAATGTTTTATATTCTTTTCTAAACTTATCTTTATTATAGTTGATACCACATAAATTTATCCATTAGATATTAAAATATAACAGAATATAAAAACTTTTTCCATTTATAAACTTAGTTTAGTTTAAAAAAAATTGTATTTTGTATCTAGCTTTTATTCCTAAGAAAGCTTACATACAACAAAATGTTTTTTCTTCTACTTACCAATTCATAATAGGTGTCTGAAACCCACGAGTTTTCCAACAGTGTTTGTACTCCAATGCAAATTCAAAGAATGCTTCACTGAGTTTGCCCTCTTTTTGAACAGCCTCTGTGATTGCCTTCTGAATCCTATCCAAGATTAGCTAATGCAATCCAGTATTTTAGCTTTACATCAATATTTTATACAAAATATAAAAACATGTATTACAACATTAAGTACATGTATATAAAATTGGACAGGAAATTTCAAATAGCTTAAAGATATATTATGCATTCATTGTAAACAATTAACATACAGAGAAGGCACAAATGCACAGATCTTTAAATAACAACACAATCAGATTATTATATACAACCATTTTTATTAACTATTACTCGTTAGCTCAAAAAAGGTGAGAAATAATTTTTTCTTCATTAAACTTCAAAAATGAGGTTTTACTATTACAAGTCACAAAGATTTTAAATGAGTGACTGTATCAAACAAAGCAAGAGTAAAGAAGACAAAGTAGTAAAGTTTGTTGAAAGGATTCTTTCCAGTAAAAATATGCAAGTGTTAAATTCTCCAGTGTAGAAATAAAAAAGAATTATTTAACAAAATATTGATATACTCACAGGCACAGCCGACATAAGAGTTGGCTTCAAGATTGTAGCATCACCCTTACAGCCTTTCTTTACAGCAGTTGACTAGGAAATACACCAAATAGTGTAAAATAATTCAGATACCACCTTTGATAGAAGGTCCAAAAGTGCCTATATATATACACACATTTTTAAGTATTAAAAACACATATCAGCTGGACAGGATTTTGGAATCCTGATGTAAGGAACCTTCAGTTTTTAAGTTTCTGTAACTGTGGTCGAAATTATACATGTTTGTGGTTAGAAATGCAAGTTATAACTCAATATGAAAGAAACCTTAAAATAAATAACATTTTACATTCATCAATTAAAGTTTGTTCTTAAAGTCTATTTTGCCATTCAAAGAATAATAAAGAAGCTATTCTCATAGTCATTCTTATGAAATCTTCTATTAAAATTAAGCTTATTGTTCTACCTTGTTTTACTTATCTACTGTATCAATAAGATAAAAAATTTAAAGTTTATTTTCTTAAAAGTAAAATAAATTCTACCATGCCATACATGATTACTTTTGGATATCAGCAAATATATATATTTCTATCACATCAGTTTTAATAAATATTACTAAAAAAAAACAATTATTTTACCTTATCTGTCATTGTCAGGGGAGAAGAGTAACCTAATGGAACACCAACAGCTAGAAAGAAGGATTCTGTAACAAGGACAATATAAAATATATATCAATGTTTATTATAAACTGCAGTCTTTTCTATTCACACTTCACTAGAACATTTGTGTATTTTTAAATCCCAACAAAGGTAACAATCATCCAGAACATTGTGAAATATTTACTTTTCCTTTCAACGTATTTAATTCTTGAGCACTTATATCATATATTAAGTTGTCTACTGTAACCTAGACATTAAAAAAAAAGGAAATACCAATCCATTAATTTGTTGTATGAGACTGATTAGCCTAAGTTTAAAAGCTATACTATTTTAGTCTATCATCTGGATGAAAAAAACAGAAATATCTGAATGCAACTACTGAAAATGTTCTTACAAACATGATATTTTGCACATCAGATTTAGGACCATTTTCTAAATATTGATGCTGCACACCGTTATATTTTAAGGGTGACAAAGTTTTGAATCTTATGTTTATCAGCAACAACAATGCATTTATTGAATTTAAGCTCAGAACCTCATTTAACTTTTATAAAAGATAAATTAATCCCAAACTGCAGAAATATAAATACAAATTTCAGTTAAACTCACCAGCTGCTATTTCCAACACATGAGCAAGAGGTAAGTATGCTATGTAGAGATCATCTGGCCTGTATAGATTAGTTCAAACACTTCTTTAAAAAAACAAACAGTATCATTGAGGGCATAAAAGATTTAAATGGAAATTTAAGAATTATCTCTAAGATTTTAATGTGGTCTTTATGTATTTAAACTGCATAAACAACTAAATTTTTAAAATAAAGTCCTAGCTTCACTCAGAAAACTATGTTCCACATAAACATGAAAACTAAAAACTAAATATGTATAAGAAGTAACAAGTTATACAAGTAGCCAATAAAGCAGTTCAACTGTCAAAACAAAGTAACTAACTGCTTATCAGAATTGAAAAATAAACAGGCAAGCAAACAGAATAAAAATACTTATACATATAAAATACAAACAGATTGATATCCTTGGAATACTTATATACATAACATGCTCTGTATAATGTTTCAATCTTCAAAATTAATCTTTGTTTTGATGTGGAAAAGAAACTTTTTAATAAGATTAAGAACAATATTCTTTGCAAGAAACTTTTTTTTAAATCTTTATGAAAATGTACTTGATGTTTCATGTACTATAATCAAATAACTTTTAAGTTTATGGGAAATAGTGACTTATCCCTTTTCTAATTCTCAAAATATCTTTAAAAACAAATTATCATATTCATTTATGAAGTATATGAAAGAATGGACTGAATCAATTCTTAATAAAAGCTTAATGGAAGGTATTGTAGAATAAGTATTGGGCTTTGCACCTGCTGCACAACGTAATCATACACGTAAATGTGCAAAAAAGAAAACCTGCTAAAAACATGTAATAAAGAATTTACTGTCTATAATTGTATAAAATATATCTATTCCAGGTTCTGAAGTTAATAAAATGACACTACATGTTTTATTAAACTTAAAATAATTACCTCATATCTTCTGTAAGTTTCATGAACCCATTACAGGTGGTGATTATGTTTTTGTGTGAAATCATCACACCTATATAAAAACAAAAAACCTATTGAAATTCACACAACCACATACTGATTTGTGAATAAAATAAAATTAAGCTAGCTTCTCTGACTAACTGCTAGTTCAACCCCTGATATATAAATGTTTAACTGAACATCTTGGGAAAGTATTTTTTATAACAAATACTCTAGTTTGGTCAAGTTTTACCTCCCAATAATTTAACAGAAGGTAATGTAACCACGAGTGTAACACTATTTTAGTAGTATTTTAATCATGTACTGATCTAGACACAGATCAGTATTGATGATCTTGCTGATCTTCATGTGCTATGACATGGCATTATGTATTCCATATGTTATACAGATGCAGTTTAGAACAATTAATTTGGACTTATAAAATGCATTTGGTTTGGTGGTTTGGTCAGAGTTTTCTTTTAATAAGTGATAATCTTTCAAACAATGCTCAACTATTTGGCAACTTCCTAGAAGTTAATATTTTCCTACACTGAATTTATTTCCAACAAATAATCATCTCTTCACACAGCAATCCCTTCTTCCTCATGCATCTGCCTACGAGGTTTGCTTGCCACTAGCCTTAAGGTAAATCCCATCTAAATTTACATGTTTAATTTAAACTGTGCTGTTGCATGATGTCATCATGCAACAAAAACCTTCCACCAATAGGAGGGTGACACAACATCCATGCACAGTAACTCCCTTTATGTATTTGCGCTCATGATAACTTCATATTTTGATGAGACAAGACAAAAAAAATGTGAACTGGAAGTGGGGAGGATGGATGACAATGTGTGAGAAAGTGAGTATCTATCAGAAATACATTTTCAGACTAGGAAAATGTTAATTCACCTCTTCACAAAAAAGTTCTAGAATCCCATGTTGAAATGGTAGAGGGATAGCTGCAAAATGATACCTAAATGAGATCACTTCTCCCTTAACCCTGGCACCATTTTTAAATTCCTTTCTGCACGTTACCAAGTTACATTCAAAATTTAATTAAACCACTTTACTTGCAATGTACTTTAATGAAATTATTTATTGTCAAGTGTGTTATAATTCCAAGTTTTATATTATCTAAGTTCTTATTCTTTTATTTCAAAAGAAACCTTTAAAATAGTAATTTAAAACTGTAGTGTTTGTTCTCACATAAAGTACTCACAGTTACAAATCTCAACTTTAAGAGCTAGTATAGAAGAAACTGTGTGTGTGTGTGTGTGTGTGTGTGTGTGTGTGTGTGTGTGTGTGTGTGTGTGTAGT